ATGAGCCTGGATTTTCATACTGCTAGACGCTCCACATCTTCACGAGTATTTTGATGGTAATTTCATAGCAGTGAGATAATTAGAAGTCGCGAAATTAATTTTTATATAATTTACCACGTTTTAATTTGGTGAACTCTGACCTTTTCCCACTCCGACGGTCAACCGGATGTCATCTACCCCCCGTCGTCCTCGAATTGAAACCAGTCTACAAAGGTAAACAAGAGGTACTGGAGTAATACTAATCAGCCTGCTAATTAACCCCCCTAATTGGCGTAGCATTCTGGAATAAACGGCATTCTTCAACTCAAGCCCCAGGAAGTGGAAGTTTCAAAATTTGGAGAAAATCCGTCAATAACTTTTGAATTTACTAATTTCTTCAGCAATTTTCGGGACTTAAGAAATTCTTCAATTTTTGCGATATTATACAGTGCAGTGTGAGTGTGTTTACCTATAATTTCTGTGTTTTTCTCAATCGGATTACATTGGATTACCAGCAGTGCAAGCAACAGATGAAAACAGAAGAAACATAACGGCCAAGGTAGGCCTTTCGTTCTTTAATTTTTAATTAGCAGCAATAATTAATTATCTCGTCTCCCAATTACCGCAAATATCTGCTATTTAACTACATTAAATTTACTGGTCATCCTTAAGTGACGAATAGTATACAGACTTCTAGAGAAACCGGACTATTAGGTTTTCGCTTAAATAAATTAATTAATTATCTGTACTTATCGGTTCTACCAAATTTACTCTATCTGTACTTATCGGTTCTACCAAATTTACCTAATTTGCTATGTATCTCAGTTCTCCTATTATCTGTACTCAAGTATAATTGCTGTATTTTTCTTGCATTCTGATAACGTTATCAATCACAATGTATTAACTGGCATTTGTGAAAGTAATGATCTAAGTTTAGTTATTCAAATTAATTAATTATTTGTGATTATCGGTACCACTTAATTAACATTTATCTTCACTGCACCTTGGTTCGCATATCTACTGTGCTCAACAGTGTTTTCACTTTTGTGCAATATACAAGATAGCGAATGACAATAATATATTAAGTATAGAGTGCCACATTAATTCAGTGTTCAAGTAATCAAAACTTTATCTGCACCACAGTAACCTTAGTGATTAGTGTAGTACAAATTGTATACAATTGCTTAAATAGGGTATTTAATTGCTTAAATAGTGTAACTGTGTAATAATTGCTTAAATAGTGTAAGTGTGTAATACTAATGCTTAAATAGTGTAACTATGTGCACGATCACCAAGAATAATGTGTAGTGCATAATGCAACACTAATTTAGTGCCGAAGTGTTAAAGTGTACAAATGTCATACTGTGATAATATACTGTGCAAGTGTTAGCAAAAGGTGTTCCGGGCAATCAGTGTTTAGCACACATCCCAAGTGTTTATAAAAGTGCTCTGTGTTCAAGTGTATAAGTATTTGCAACAGTGTTCTACCCAATCTGTGTTTAGCACACAGCTCAAGTGTTCACAACAGTGTTCTCAGCGACAAAGTGATTATAATTTACTTTCTCCTGCAACTAAGCAATTGATGAAATATGCAAGAAAGTGACAACTCCATTTTAGCAAGGGACCTCGACCTTACAAATCCAGCCCAGAGAGACACTCTAAGCTACTCGGAGAAGATTCATTCATTTGCAGACGAGGCTCTGCGCATCAGCAATACAAAGTGCGGCAAACGAGCAGTACTTCCAGCTGACTTACGAGACCAAATAAGATTTATAATAGAAGCACTCAGAGAGCTGGCCCTACAGGGTCCAGACAGCGATAACCCTCGGCCTACTACTGAAATAGGTGTGAACACTGAGGAAGAAGTTCTCACAGCACCGATCACCATACAGACGGCAGCTTCCAACAGCACACGCGTTAAATCTTACGCACAAGTTGCCGCCCCGAAGCTGAAGCATACTATTCTCATTTATCCAACAGAGAATACAGCAACCCCTAGCAAAGACCTGAAAACAGTCCTCAACGAGAAATTTCCACTACAAAAGCTGGGAGTCAAAATTAGCACCATCCGGAACCTGCAGAAGGGAGGATTAGCGGTAGACTGCGTAACCAAAGAGGACGCAACGAAATTAGTCAACACCCTACAGAGTAAACAGGGGCAAGATCTGGTCAAGACCAGACAACCACAGACCAGATTACCGAGAGTGGCCATACACAGTGTGTCACCTGATGTCCAGCCAGAAGAATTGGAAAAAAGCGCTCAGCTCCGAGTTCCATCTATCCAAAGCATCAGCAAAGATCCTCTACCGTCTCAAAGACAGAGAAAATACTGTTAAATGGATCGTGGAGTGCCAGCCAGCAGCTTACCGAAGTCTCCTCCAATGGCCCAAATTGTTCATTGGTTGGCAAAGACACCGCATCGCGGAACACTTCAATACCAAGAGATGTTTCCGATGCCAAGAGTTCGGTCATACTCAACAAGGCTGCACGAATAAAATCTACTGCGCCTTCTGTTCGGGCAACCACAGCATCAAGGACTGCCACGCATGCCAGCCCACCTGTATCAACTGCGCAGATACAAATTTCCGAACACATAGTACAATGCCCTGCAACCATCCAGCATACGACATCCGATGCCCAACCTATGCACGGTATGTTGAGCGAATCCGACGAAGCACAATCTACGAATAACGCACAACGACCAAGTACCTCCGCACCAGCCTGGACGCCACACAAAACGAAAAATACACCCACTGAAGATCGACCAGAAACAAAAGTGGAAACCACCCAGCACCAGACACCCATACGATGCGCTCAAATTAATTTGCAGAGAGCAGAAGCTGCCTCAACCCAAGCCATACAACATGCAATACATCATAATTTAGACTTTCTTCTAATCCAGGAACCATACTGCCGTGAAGGCCAGGTGGCAAGTTTTCCCCTGGCATGGAAGATCTTCCAAAGGAAATCCACAGCAGAGCAGGCACCCAGAGCAGCCATTGCCTGCTGTAACCCTACCTGGACACCTTTCCTGGTTTCAATGGAACGAGATTTCGTCTCCGTACTAGTTATCTTTAACAATCAACAGTTCATACTAAGCTCCGTTTATTCCTCCCCCAGCGATGACCTCACTGACGCAACTACAGCATACAATCACGTTAGACTGAAATGTCCTACGGTACCACACATCATTGGAGGCGACTTCAACGCCCACAACGTCATTTGGGGCTACCGTGACACGACTCCTAAGGGCCACGAAATGGAAAACTTCATGGCGAGCAATAACCTGCATTTGCATAAACAGCCCCGGTGCACAGCCGACATTTGACAACTCGTATCATAAAGGCTGGCCCGACTTGACCCTTTCAACATCGGACATTGTCAACAATATTTACTCTTGGACTGTCATGGATGATGAAAGCAATTCCGATCATAAGTACATCCATTTCCTCATTCAAGTAGACACCAGCATTAGCATTTTAAAAAGGTTTAAGCTTCCGGGTGGCAAGATTAGGCATCTGCATCGCATTCTCAGCGAAACTCTCAGAAGAGAAGAGATGGAGCTTAATACGCATTAATGACCAGTATGATATGAATATCTACACAGATAATCTTCTCACCACTCTCAAGGACACATGCGAGCGAATTCTACCAATCAGGACTGCCAAGAAACTGCAAGGCATTACGTGGTGGACTAGGCAGCTGAGACAAATGCGCCAAAGGTGCAGAGCATTACGTCGCCGTCTCCGAACGGCTGTAGACGGCACAGAAACGGAAAGGTTGCTAACTGCATTCCGACAAGCACGGGCTACTTATAAAAAAGCAATTCTAGAAGCCAAAATCAACAGCTGGCGCAATTTTTGTACCAGCAATAGCAATCCTTACGGAATCCTGCATAAACTGGCCACGCAGAAAATCTTCCAGCCGGCACAAGTGCCAGTGCAGCCAGGGAATCTACCACAAACAATTGACTTAGCAGGGTCCACGGCCACAGCACTGCTTGATGCAATCTTCCCAGCGGATCCAGAACAGGATGACACGACGGCCCAGCGACTTTTGAGAAACTCCACAGAGATCCCAAGAACGCCAGAAGATGTCCCCATTACAATGCAGGAAATCACTCACATCTTCCGCCATCTACCACTGAAGAAGGCACCGGGTCCGGACGGACTTGATTATGCAATCTTAAAGGTCGCCTTCCGAGCACGGCCCACCTTCTTTCGCCTCTACTTCAATAAACTCCTGCACCACAGAGTATTTCCACAAGCTTTCAAGAAGGGACACGTGGTACTTTTTCTCAAAAAAGATAAGAACCCAATAGACCCCTGCTCCTTTCGTCCGATCTGTCTCCTTTCAGCGTTGGGTAAGATCTATGAAAAGATCATAGTTAACAGGCTGAAGTATCATATTCACAAAAACAACTTCCTCAGTCCCAAGCAATATGGCTTCCGTTCAGGTTGCTCAACCACACATGCCCTTCAACGAATATATGATGAAGTCCAGCTTAATCGCTCACAGAATCTTCAGACTGCATTCATCTCAATAGACCTCCAGAGCGCTTTCGACACCCTTTGGTGGCCCGCCATCAAGCAGGCCCTCAGAGAGGCGCAATGCCCGGAGAACATCTACCAAGTCTTTGAGAGTTATCTCACAGATAGGCAATTACTTATGGCAACAATAATGGCATTGTTACTAAGACCCAAGTCAGAGGCTGCCCACAAGGGTCCTGTGCAGGGCCCTTGCTCTGGAACCTGACATTTAACAAAATCCTCGAAGCGACGTGGCCTGATCACACAACTATCATTGCATATGCTGATGACGCGGCTCTCCTTGTTAAAGGTCGCACACGAGACGAAATTGAAGCCAATGGCAGCGAAGCGTGCGCCAAGTTCGCAAGCCTATGCGAAGACCTTAAGCTGAGGATTTCTATCACCAAGTCTTCTGCACTCCTCATCCCAAGACCGGGCACGAGGCCTGTACGTCGTCCCTGTATCCGATTACTTGGCCGCAACATTAAATTCATGGATACACAGAAGTATCTAGGAGTGGTCTGGGACTCTGGCTTAACATGGGTGCCACATTTGCAGCAACAGAGAGCAAAAACCTCCGCTATAGCCAGAATGACACGGAAATTTCAAGGAAGGAATTGGGGACTAAATCCCCACATTCAAAAAGTGCTTTATAGCACGGTGGTGGAAAAGATTGCGCTGTACGCAGCTGCAATCTGGGCTCAACCGATGACAACGAGGAAAATCAAGCAGTTAACATCACTCCAACGCCCTTTTGTCATAAGCATCTGCAGGGCATACTGCACAACAGCCACGAGCTCCGCCCTTACTCTAGCAGGTATAGTCCCTCTACACATCCAGGCCGAGCTAGAGGCGACATATACGAGAGTCCTTCACTTGAGGAAAGACGCCTCCTTCGCAGGTACTCTCTACAGTCCAGCACTTTATGAGCACCCCAAGACACCGCTGCACACACATCCAGCGCATAAAGGACTAGGGGTCCACACCCACATCATGCAACAGCCCAACAAGGAAATACAGCACATCAGCAACCATACACTTTACACTGATGGTTCTAAACATGCTGAAGGCGTTGGCAGTGCTTTCCTGCACTGTTGGCAAAGCCAAGAATTACATCATTGGAAAGGCCACCTAGGTGACAGCAATAGCGTCTTTCAGGCAGAAGTGATAGCAATTACAGCTGCTGTTGAATATCTAATAAGCCGAAAAATCTCAAAAGCTTATCTCTATACGGATAGTATGTCTGCCTTGCTGGCCCTAAGCAAACACAACCATGTTTCCCCGTTGATCATCCGCCTTCAAAAACTCTTAAAAGATAACCCACAGGTACACGTGGACATGACATGGGTGAAAGCTCACGAAGGCAATGCAGGTAATGAGGCAGCGGACGTGCTCGCCAAAGAGGCAGCCTCAAACATCAACGCACGTCCCATCGCTGTTCCGGCGCCACCTTCCCATCTTAAAAGACTGCTGAAAGGCGCAGCAGTCCAGTGGTGGCAAAGAGTATGGGAACATGGAAACACAGGAAGAAGAGTGTATGGTTTTCTACCGATGGTGACAACGGAGAGACTCATAGCAAACGCTCCACTTACTAACTTTGTAACTGGGCACGGTCCCTTCCCGGACTACTTCAACAGACGCACTATTTCTAATACGGATCGCTGTGTATGCGGGGAAGAGGGGACACCCGATCACTATATCTTCCGGTGCCCACTCACAGAACAGCACCATTTCCCGGAACCCACGAACATACCTGCCTTCCACAAGTTTATCCTTAAAAATAAAGCGGCAATCAACACAGTGTGCAAAATCGTTAACACCATTAAGGCCTACGGCCAAGACCTTTGCCTCCCATTATAAAACAGTGCTATTCATAATGGTCTCAGTGACTGCATTCTGCCTTAACAAACTGTGCAACAACACATACTGCATGCTGTATACCGCTAGTGTTTCACTTGTGGGTATTGCGTAC